GAGGTAGCTCTCCGGCGGTTTTCATAGCCTTAGTGTGGCCCCAGGGGCGTCTTTGCTTCTCCGAGAACTGGCTCTTCTTTCCTCTCCCCCCCCACCCCGCGGCGCGAAGGCGCTGTCAGTTGTGTGTGCGGGTTCCCTCGTCCCCGGCGCTGTCGTGGCACCTGCGACCCTGTCGGGAGCGAGGAGGGGAGCAGGTGTGCCGGGGCTGGTTACACCGCCGTCATCTATAGCCTGGTCATGGCTTTGGTAATGCAAAATATGCACGGAGTGTCGGATTTTGCTTTATGGGACGCTTTTCTGTTCCTGCACCTCTCTTTCTTTGTAGCGGAGATGGCACGGATGTAAAGGGGAACTCTGTGTTTACAGAGAGGGATGTGAGATTTACAGTAGGCTTTAGCTGCTGTTGGCATTTCTTTCGTGACTTGGTACCAGTCCTCTGGAAATTGTGCGGGGCAGTGGGGGCAGCTGGTTGTGTTCTGCCAAGAGGGCAGAGAAGTTATCCGTCCATATCCTGGTGCTCTGCGTGGTCGCTTCAGTGTTCTGGGCTGCAGGTTCTGAGCACTCTGACAAGGATCAAGAGCTTTAACTGCAGTGGGAGCCAGCTTGCACAATCGGCTCACACTTTAAGCTGGAAAAATAGTACCGATGTGTTATGTGCTAGTTGCAGTTCCTCGATGTCTTACAGACTAATGTGCAGGTATTTTTCAGACAGACTAGAACTATTGTAAGATCACAATAAGGGTATAATTAAGGCAGGCCATCATCAAGGATGGGATGTACTTGTCCAGCCATTTAGGGATGTAGATACTACTTCCCGTGAACAGAACTTGGGCAAAGAACTTAGGAGCCCTCCTGTATCAAGCAGAGCTATTTTAAGAAAATTCATGTTTGACAAAATAAAGTGTGGAAGAGTAACTTATGAATCTTCTGCAGAAAAATCCCATCTTTGGGAAACATTGTGCTGGAAATCATGTTCAGCATTAGTTGGAGAAATTTGTGATGTCGGTCACCATGGCTAATAGTTGAGGTGTAAAAATAAGCTTAAAGTGAATGCAGGTGGGCATCTATTTACTCCTAATGCTGTCAAGAGCCATGTTAAAAACCAGCTCTTTTCTGCAGCAGTCCTCTGGTTCAGAAGTTTTTTGACCCACAAACTGCTTGGAGCTCTGCAAACAATCTTTGGTACCTACTAAAAGGTGTTATCTTTTAAACTGAGTTCTCCTTACCATTTGGGAAACAGTAGATAACAACATCTAACAGGTTATTTTGTGTGCTGGAGGTATCTGGCGCATTAACAAACTGAGTATAACTATCAGTTATCTCATTTGGTTAGCTTGAAGGACTGGTGGTTATGTCTGGCAGACTTCTCACGCATCTTTTTGGTAAAAACAAGTTCACCTTACTTGATACAACTGCACAGGTTCATCATGTTGGTTTTGGATGGTAATTAACTCCTGATGATATGAACTGCTGTCTGTGTTCTTTGTTAGTATGATACTATAATCCTTTTTCCATCTAGCCCAGCTACGGTGCTGCCACATTCTTTTGGCTTCGCAAGCTTCCTAGGGTGGTTGCTGGACTTTCCACTTGAATAACTGTTGCTGCATTTCTTTGTGTCAGTGAAATGAGTGGTGAAAAGATAGGCACATCTCCCAGTTCTGCTGGGATGTGATGTTCGCTGTACTGGAAGTTTGGTATATATTATAATTTTAATTATGCCAACTTCTCGTTTGTTGTTTGAGATTCTGAAGCTTAAGCAGAAGTTTCTGGCTGCGCTATTTATATTCAGTCTAAAATATGCTGGCCTCTTACCAATATGTTTGATTTTTCCCTGTACCCTGCATAATATTGTCAGTGGAGAGAGAAAGCCGTATAATTATTGTGATTTTACAGATTGCTGGAGGTCTGATCTGTGCAGCACCATGGACTCATCAGAAGAGACTGGAGGCTCCTGTGCCGAAGAAAACTACTTTGTGAACTACACCTTCACCGACCGCTCCCACTCAGGCCGCGTGGCCCAGGGTATTATGAAATTGTGCTTGGAGGATGAACTCTTTGCTGATGTTACAATATCAGTGGAAGGCAAAGAATTCCAACTGCACCGTTTGGTCCTCTCAGCTCAGAGTTGCTTTTTTCGTTCTATGTTCACTTCCAATCTAAAGGAGGCCCACAACCGGGTGATTGAGCTGCAGGACGTTAGCGAGAGTGTCTTTCAGCTCCTTGTGGACTATATTTACCATGGGACTGTAAAGCTGAGGGCAGAGGAGTTGCAGGAGACCTATGAAGTGGCAGACATGTACCAGCTGACTGCCCTTTTTGAAGAATGCTCCCGTTTTCTGGCCCGTACGGTGCAGGTTAGGAACTGTCTGCAGGTCATGTGGTTGGCAGATCAGCACAGTGACATGGAGCTCTACACAGCTGCCAAACACTGTGCAAAGTCACATTTGTCTCAACTGCAAGACACGGAGGAGTTCCTACACCTGCCTCTCCGCCTACTGACAGACATCCTTACAGGTAAGGAGTTCTTGAGACTAGCCAGGATGTGGATGTAGAAAGAGACTTACAATCTATCAGGGATTGAACAAAATAGATGGAAAGATCCAAGCTTTTGTAATCACTGTCTGTTTAGAGGCTTAGCTAAGCTAAGCAAAGCGAAACATTCTGCATAACTTAATCGGGGGAAAAAAACCCTACTAATTGTTACTGGACGTGAAGCGTCTAAGGTATAGAAAAGGGACATAGAGGATGCTGGTAAGGCCCAGCAGTTTCTCAGTCAATAGGTCAGAAGTATTACAGGTTTTTTAAATATAACTTAGTAACTTTCAATAATTTGCTATAATTTTGCTTGCATTAAAAGTAAAATAAAGAAGCCTTACCAGAAATGAACATCTTATGAAAGTGGGTTTTTTTCTTTAGTTCATAGTCATTTAACATAGTAATGCAACAGCTCAACATTTGTAAGAAGGTTTGAGCACAAGCCATATTTTTAGACTATGTTAGTGTTATTTACAGTTGTATATAATTGTTAGGATTATTTAGGCTAGGCACTCAGCTGACTGAAATACAGGTAATGTAACATCTTAAGTAATACAGTACTTAACCTTGTTATAAAGGTAATAGCCTTCCACAGTAATGGATGCAATGACTCAGTGTTGTGAAGGATGTGTTAACACATCAACTTAGTCCAACAACCACCAACCCTTAAAGATTCTCTGCTGCCCTGGTAGGTACAGCCAGTACTTGAAAACCTCTCCATGATGCTGCAGTCACAACTCCATTTTTGTGCGTTTATGTATTGTTACTAGAGCAAGCAAGAACGTAGAAGAAGCTCATACATTCAAATGTGCTGGACTTGGGACCAGAGAGATTTCCTCTTTCTTGCTTTAGTTAAATAATTTTGTAAACGAGTAAATAACTATACTTTGTGTCATGTGTTTTATATGCTGTTACAACAATAAACCTACTGTGACTGGCTTCTTTGGAATACTGGCAAATCTGTCCGTAAGACTTAAAATAGCCTTTAAAGTTGATGCTATGCATATGAGAGTCTTTATGGGTATTGCATTGTGTTATCTCTGTTGCATCTAAAGAAATTCACAGTCAGAAATCTATTGAGAATATGTACCGATAGCTCAAAAAAAGATTATAAAATTAGAGTAATTTTGATAACTATGTAGCTGAAGTTTTTAAAGAAAGTTGTGAGTTTGTTTTAAAAATCTAAATTTCCTAAAATCATTCAATAAAGCTGTGGCGGTAAATCACCATTAACTTCCTAGGGATTCCATGTAGTAACCTTAGTTTTAGGACTGTGGCCTTTTAGTAATTGTGATTCTAAATTAAAATAATTGCTCAATAAAACTTTTTTCCATGCATCATCTACTTCCATACATAGGATCATATTACTCAATGTTTATGCCAAAACTTGTCTCATAAAATGGATTAAAATCTGAAATATACTCCTACTGCTGGTAGGGAAAATCTTTTGCAATTCCTGCATCTTTGTTCAGTTAATGGAGAATTTAACAGAGGAAGCTATTAGTGGCAAGGATTAAAACTAATTTAATGAAATAGTAATTTATTAAGCTTACCTTTTGTTGCACTCTAGGACCCGTTTCAAAATTGAAGTTTTTCCATTTAACCACTATATGTGGTGGATAGCTTATGGAAATCCCTTTTACTAATAAACAGAGTTGAAATACCTGCTTTTGTTCCATGCTTTTTCTCCTCCCTTCCAGTGTAGAGAAAAGTATTGGAATTTGTCTGATGCCTTCAGCATCATTGAATTCAGGGTTTGTCATCAGAGCAGACTACAAAATCAGAGCACCTTCATATGGAATACAGGCATAATTGCTGGCTTTCAAACTGGAAGTAAATACCTAAAATCTTCTAGGTCATGTACTGATGACGATGATGCAATAGTTTGCAGCATAACCAAAACTTCCAATGATGTCTGAAAACAAATTGAAATCTGATGCAGTCTGTTGAGTGTTTCCTACTGTCACACTGCTAAGAAAAGCTATAGTAGCTCATTGGGGATTTCCAAATGTTAAGAGGATAGCAGCAACACCAGATGTTCAGTCTTGAGAGTCAGCTGTCTGGCAGTGCTTGGAGAAGGAAAATTTCTGCAGATGACTTCTGCTAGATAGGTTCCTAGGACCTGCCAGAAAGAAAGGCAGCTGCAAAGATTCTCAAATAAGATAATCTTTTTGCCTAAATGCTTAAATAAGAAAATATTTTTAATCGTCACAAAGCACATAAGTTTTCTTTCTTGTCTTCTTTCTCTCGGACATTGAAACTCATCCAAAGTGCTAAAGATCTGGCTTCTCTGGCTTCTGATATTTATCCAGTCTAATTTCATGTAGATGTCTGGCTGGCAGTGCTGATCACGCCTGCCAAAATCTATAAACCTCTGTATCTTTTTTTCCTCCCTAGAAAGTAGGGTTTGTGGTGGGAGTAGGGGGAGGAAAAGGATGTTCCTGAGTACATATACCTTTGTCCAGATATCATAAATGCCTTTCTCTCCCCAAACCACAGATGGCGTTCCATGTTCTCAGAATCCAACGGTTGCCATAGAAACCTGGATCAACTTCAACAAGGAGGAGCGAGCGGGCTTTTCAGAGACGCTGCGATCGAGTCTGAAGGTATAAAAAGACCTTCTGTTCCGGGGTTGGTGTAGCGCTTGCTGGTTTCGCACTTCCCAAGGCAGGGTATTCTGCTCGCAGGTGTGACTTGAAAGTCACAAAATACAAATGCCATTGAAATTCATGGTACTTGCGTGAGGAATACTTTCATTGTCATCAATAGCAACCCCACTGACAGCTTTTCTAATTTAACCTGAGGCTGCTTGCACTGGTGATTGGAGCAATGCCACAAATAACTTATTTCACCAGATGCTCAGTTACCAAAGAGACCATTCAGAGATTTGAGTTGGGTATTCTCCTTATAATAACTCTGCTCCATCAGTGATGTAACCAGCCCTTACCTAAACTACAGACACTTGGGTTCCAGTGAAGTCCGTAGTTATTTTGCTATGTCAGATATGATAGGTGTCTTGAAAAGGCTTTGAGGCTCTCAATCCTTAATGCTGTAGGGTGGCAGGACTTGGGAAGCAGTCACACATCTCAGACCCACAGATGGGTCCCAAGCTCAAAAATTTGGTCTTAGGCATCACTGACGTTTGTGTAAACAGGTCCAATTCTGCTGACATGCTTCTCCTTTCTCTCAGGTGATTGGAGAAAATGTTCACATCTACCTGATTGGAAAGGAGTCATCACGTACACATTCACTCGCTGTCTCTCTGCATTGTGCTGATGATGACTCCATAAGCGTGAGTGGCCAGAACAGCCTGTGTCACCAGATCACCGCAGCCTGCAAGCACGGTAGTGACCTATACGTTGTTGGTGGCTCCATTCCACGACGCATGTGGAAATGCAACAATGCGACTATAGACTGGGAATGGTGTGCCCCTCTGCCCCGTGACCGGCTCCAACACACCCTTGTCTCCGTGCCAAGCAAGGATGCTATATATTCACTGGGGGGGAAAACTCTACAGGACACTCTCTCTAATGCCGTCATATATTACAGAGTAAGAGACAATGTCTGGACAGAGACCAGCCAGTTGGAAGTGGCAGTCTCTGGAGCTGCAGGTGTAAACCTTAATGGTGTCATTTACCTGCTGGGCGGGGAGGAAAATGACTTGGACTTCTTCACCAAGCCCTCTCGGCTAATTCAGTGCTATGATACCAACACAGAGAAATGCCACGTGAAGCCCTATGTACTGCCTTTTGCAGGGCGCATGCATGCTGCTGTACACAAGGACGTGGTGTTCATTGTGGCCGAGGGGGATTCACTGCTATGCTATAATCCCCTCCTGGATAGCTTCACCCGGCTATGCCTGCCAGATGCCTGGAGCTCAGTACCATCCCTCTGGAAAATTGCAAGCTGCAATGGCAGCATCTATGTCTTTCGCGACCGCTATAAAAAGGGTGATGCAAATACTTTTAAACTTAACCCAGCCACCTCTGTTGTAACAGTCACAAGTGGCATCAAAGTGCTGCTCACTAACCTGCAGTTTGTCCTGGCCTAAGCAGGGAAAAACGGGCCCAGTGATAGAAAGGGCAGCAACAGTGTTCTGTGCAGCTCAGAGGCACCCACCACCCTCAGCACCAGTCCCAATTACTACGAGCTCACAATGTCCGGTAAAGACCCTATCCTCTGTACCTGTGCAGAGGAAGGACAGGCTTTCTGGCTGTGGGCCTGTTCTTTTACATAGCACTATTAAAGTTGAACTGTTGCATCTTAGATTTCAGATGAACTAAATGCTACTACTTTGATCCCTTGATGATAAGCTGCTTGTATTTGAGGCCCAAACTGCAGCAAATGGGCTTTTTTAGCCTGGAACCGATCCGCCAATAACAAATCCTATGGCATATGGATGTCCTCTTTAGCCCAGACTGCTAGTTTTAACTGCCTGGGAGACTATGTGCTGCTGCTGTGTCAGTCACAGAGTTAGATGCACACTGTGCCCTCCAGGGATGTCCCCATTTAAACATTGCTTTGTCCCTATTGCAGAAGGAGGGACCGGCAGAAACATATATAGCAGACAGATTCCAGAGCTGACCCCAAGACCTTTAGTAGGTTGTATTGTTCAGCACTGCTCCTAGAGGAGTGGTAACAAACTCGGAGATTGTTTTTATGAGCATTGGCTTCCTTTACTGTACAGGGAATCCCCACCTGTAATCATAATTTAGTATTGGTGAAAGACAGAATTAAGACCACTTCCTCCTACCCCTCTCTGTTGGCACTGTAACCCTTTGGGTAAGAATCTGAATAAAGTCTCTGCTGAGACAAAGTTTTATTTTCCTTTGCTGCAAATATTACAGAACTTTCTGTGAACTGCTGTTCAGCTCAGCACTGATACTATGTGTGGGAGAGAACTAAGGGACTCCAGGAGAACTAAGATATTAGCCATAAGAAAGGAAAGCTTTAATGAAACAGCCCAACCACCCCTTTACTGTAATTTTTGTAAAAACTTCTTTATTGATGGTCAAGAAGTACAATGCTTAAGCCTTCATTAGATTATTAAAACATAAGGGTTTTTTAAAGCAGCCAAGACAGATTCTGATATTTCTTACTGATACTATGCAGTTGTCCCAGTGATCACATTCCTGTGAAATGTCTCCAGGACCTGGACTTGCTTGTATCGAATGAGGATGTGGGGACGGATCTTGGCAATAGCCTTGACTGCTTCCTGAGGGCTCCAGTGATGCAGCTGAAAAGGCAGAAACCCTGCAAGTGAAAAGCCATTCTATCCCTGCACCAGTTAACAGATCCTCCCTGGAGGCCACAGGCAGCATTACAGTTGTTAGAAAATTTGCTGCTTTGCCCCTTCTGTTTATTTCATGTTCTTCTCCAGGGGGCCTGAATGTCAATGCAAGTTCATGAAATGAGTCCCTCAGTTAAAGAGGGATGGTTGCTGCCTGGGACCTCTGTTTTCTGTCTCACTCATGCTTCCATCAAGTTGTGCGTAGTTTCCTGGCCTAGTCCCACCAGAGAAGAGTAAAAGTGCAGCTTGCTTTTTTAAATTTTTTTAAAAACTTCACTAGTACTCCCATCGCACTTCAGCACTTAGTGAGAAAATTTTCCAGGGAGCACTTAAATAACACCAACAGAAGAATCCACAGGTGGGATTTTGTTCTTAGTGCTGGCTTACCCAGTTGGGTCTGTAGAGGAACTCGGAAAACCAAAGTCACTTCTCTTGATTCTGAATTGTATTTATTGAAAGGCTTAGAAAGGCTCACCATTTCAGTTAACCAAGGAGAAAATCTGAACGACAAAAATGATGTTTATCTGCTCAGTGAACCTACCCTCATGACTGACTTGTCATTCCCATCTCAATCTGTTCCTCCATAGAAAGAATTAAGAATGGCAGCATCATTCAAAACCCTTTGAGAACTTATCTGTTAATGGCCCAGAAAACTGAGCAGCTTCTTGAAGTCTGACTGATCTGCCAGAACCAGCTACAGATACTATCAGACCAGTGTTTCAAAGCTTTGTTGCAACAACAGTTTCTCTTT